CGTTCATTACTTTTGGTTTCCGAAACTCGATTTTCACCTTCCATTGCGATTATTATTCATTTAAAACTCATCAATGAAATATTCTAATGAAACAAAAGCTGAGTCATCTTTTCTGCAATTTTTATTCCAATTTGCGATGAATGAGCATGAATGGTTCAGTATTCTTTTCATTAAAATATTCTTCTTATTTGCCATACCAAATTTTAAAAAAAAAATGGACGTTCTCACGTTGAAATTGGATCGAAAACAAGAATTTAGATACGAAAAAATAAGAACAATGGAAAATGAGATCTGAAAATCGGAAAATATCGGCGAAAATTGTTATCATTCGATAATTATCTTCTTCGTAGTTGATAAAAGAGTGACCTTTCAATGCTTTTCACATACCAGATTGTGAATGGTTGGCTACGTGAAGGTGTCATTATATGTCCGTCATGTGCAGACTTCTGCACACCTGAATTGTTCCCTGCTGACGATAAATACGGCGAATGTCTAGCGCCGATTCAGTTACCGAACGACACTCACATCGGTGATGAACCAATCAAGGAGCCGTGTTCGGCATTCAAAATCTCTACGAACAGTCTATTGTATATTCTCGTTGTGCTTGTAATCATATCAGTCAACCAATGACGTCTTTCGTCTTTGCCACTGACTACACGGTGATATTGAATTAGGCGTTGAATTTATTTTACATGTGTGTGTGTATCAGTGATTATTTATCAATCAATTCGTATACATTCGACAATTTTATACGGGTTTCGTTCTTCGTAATTGCTTAATCTCTGTTTGTTGAATGCTGATAACTGCGACTCGTTCATAATACGTAACAAATGACAGTAGTCTCTTTGCATGTTTTTCATATCATTTCTTTTGTGCAGCAGCATTTCTTATTCGTTTGATCTGTTTTATGTGCAACTGATACAAAGCCTAATCGCTGCTTCGTCATTCCCAGTGATAATTTCGTTCATTCGGCTGTGATATAAGCTATTGTGTGATAAAACTTGATACTCTTTTTTATTCATTCATTGTTACTTTAATTTACCTGCATTGAAACTGTGCTATCAAATAAGAATTTTCAATATTCAAACTCTTGTCATTATGAAAGAATAACACTTATGAAAGGGGTATGGCAACTGAATACCTAAAAATTTGTGAAAATCGTAAAAATATGAAATATATACACACTCTCCATAGTTATAACTTGATAAGCCTCTAGAAATACAACGAAATAGAAATGTGATAAAAAACAGTTTATTTGATCACATTCGTTTATTCACATCAACTCCATTTGAAACTCATTCAAATAAAGACTCAAATGGATTTAGTTCAGCAAAACGTTTATGAATCCTTAAGGAGATCCATTTTTCCTACGACGACTAATAGCGGAAAGGAACACAATTTCCAATTCATTTTCAATGAATTAGTATTGCGCAACAAAAAGCCATCGCTGTGAATGGAAGGAGTGATTATTGATTTGGCAAAGAAAATGCATTAGACTAAACAGAAATAAATAAGGTCACCGGAATATTATCCACAGATAAAGGATGTGTTGTACTGATCGATCTGTTGACCTATAGTTTTTGATGCTGAATATGATAAGTTAATAAAGAAAGCAAGATCACAACGGACATAATGACATGAGAACAACGCACGCGAAAAACGAGGTAAACGTTCAGTAAGATGTGATTTCTGAACGGAGTCAGAAACAGAATGAATAATTGAAAATCTTTCTATAAACTATGACAACATGAATACACACACAAACGATCGTTAACATGAACAAATATTCCATGAACTACGTGGTTCATGTTCGTTCTTCTTGACCCAAACGACGAATAACCATTCAGTTTCAAGCTAAACTCTTAGGCATTCCTCACCCGTGAATGTCATGAAATATCCGTATCAAATTATCTATCTTTGCGGGCAATGAAGTGACAGGACACTTACGCTCTCTGCTAACGTACTCACTGATGCATTCGTAGCAAAAAACATAGCCAGAAACGTTTAAAACCTGAAAATTGCATCATGTCGTACAGCTGAAAACAACGCAATAAATGGCTATGCATTTTTTGTGCATCATTGTTGCACTCACTGCAATACTGATGAATTCAAGTAATATCAATCAAAACTGGAGGAAACGAGATGAAATGAATGAAATATTATAATAACCGTATCGTTCTGACGTGGTCGTAAGCAAATCGGGCATTTATCTGATTCAAGGAGCATGACGGCTCTTTCGTTGACACGCTTCAAAACATAAACATTAACTTCATTCTGTTCTATATCAGTAACTCTTTATACATTTCCCTCCACCTGTTTTCAACACTGCATTCAAAATTGTACCAAGTGGCGTTTGGAGAGTATGCATTTTTTTGGAAATTTGCAAGCATGTAATAGAACGGTGGTAATGTAAATAATAATAATCACCTTATGAGGTGCCGCAGGGATCTTGTTGCTATATTTTTTGATCGTTGATGACCTTTGCTGTATACCGAAGTCGGTATTGTAAAAGAAGTCAATAAACTCAACAAACAATAAGGAGTAAGCGAATAAACGACTGAAGATTCCCGGTAACGCAAGTATGTAACGCCATAAACGGTTCAATAGACTGCAATATTCATTTTGAATTTTGTTTGAAACAACGACAAATAGCCAACGTAAAAAACTCGAGGTCTGCGAGGTAATGAAACAAATATATTTAACACATCAAAAGATTTCTTGGTAATACTGAATGACGATTGTTGCATCTTAAAAATTTGTAGCGGAATAAATGAAACGAGTTCAGAAAAGGAATCACCCATGTTGACGTAAATGCGCTGGTATATAATCGAATTGAGCGATATCATTTGTTGAGAGCTTTTCCAGTCGAACACCAGCCATATACAATAATGGTGAATGTATGGGTGACGTTGACAGAATGTATGCTAACTGCAGCATGTACGTTACACCACTCATCAACAATTTCAACCATGGATATATACGGTGAAAATATTGTGCTGCTTTTAGTTTTGATGAGGTATTCGCGTAGTTTGCGGGAAGAACACGAAAATATAAAGAGACCTGGTCGTGCAGCTGATCCAGTTTGTCTTTTATGTATGGCCAAATAACCTGAATCATAGGTTATTACATATGAGCAATGTTAATCCAATGCATTTTTGGCTTATGTCAAATTAATGATTTCTTAGAGATGAGAATCATTACATTCAGTATTTAGAGGAGAATATTGAAAGCGCTTAAACCATTGATAGATTCAGTTGGATCTTTATTTTTATGCTACACATTTGAAGTGGGATTGAGTGGCTTTCATTTAATCAATTGAATACATTAAGAGGACTTTAAAAACATACAATGATTATCAATGATCTCAGTCTTGCGAAGCCTCTTGATGGTATCGAACCCGTCGATAACGCTATTCGCTTGATACCATAAAAATTCTCCGAGAATGACGCACCTGAAGTGACCCTATCACAGTCATTTTAACGAACTATTCAGAATGAGATACTCACTAAAAAGTTTGGGTTCTATATAAATTTGCACTGCAATAGGATTGTGATACCCGGAAAGCTGATGAGTTAGTTGGGAGATTCAATTAATGCTATGAAACAGTAAACAATGCTAAATTTGTAGGTAAAGTGTTTAAAAAAGAAAGCGGTGCTGCAAGCGTTAGCTTGAAGTCTAGAGGAGCCTCAGAGTCTTGTGGTTCAGGTCTCAATTTGAACTTGAGTAGAAACTCAGCGATAGTGGATAAGTCAAAGAATAAATTTAAGGATAAGGCTCAGGCTAAGTTCCGCAGTGAACCTCAGCAAAAAGCAGAGGTTAGCTTTACCTTGAGGTCTGTTGCAACCCGACCCGCTTTCAGTGACACATTCACCGAACAAACGAAAGAGAAGTGGAATTTTCATGTTGGAATTGAAAAAAACGGCGAATTGAGAGTGAAAAAGAAACGAACGCTCACCATATCTTTTCAGATAGTGATTCTGAAGTAACAATTCGAAAACCGTATACAGTTCATCATACCATTTGCTTGCAGTGTCGAATCTCTGCGGACATATCGATGACAAATACTAAAAAACGATCTATCTAGTCTTTAATCGTTCCTCACAATATTCCTTTATTTCATTTTATGTTCTCAAAATTCATACATTTTTCAACCACTCGTAGAAATCACTTCCAATCTAACCAGTCCCAATAACGCTGAACGGGAGAATAATTCTAAGATCGCAGAATTAAAGAAAGGTGACTCTGCACACCTATGCATAATTCAAAGAAGGATACCTTTATCAAGTGTCGAATTGCGGGTTTCAGTGAAATCGTGAGACTATCTTGAGAGAGGATATCAAATATTGACGGTTGTTCAATTGATGATTGTGCGTTTGCATTCAAATGCGATTCATCAACATTTGAATTTGAGCCTATCATTGAAACAGCTGGAATTTTATTTCTCATTAGTCTCTGTCACGTTCGAGCCGAACTGCGTTCATTGCAAAAAATTCAGTTTTGCGATTAAAAATTTTTCTGCGATATAAAATAAAAATTTGCATCTTAAGAAAGCATTCAAAATATTATCGTTCTTTCAAAATATTCAAAGATATCGTTCGATTGGAACACAACACATCGATTCACCTTTTCACATGGTTGATTTTCATCGATACTCAGTCACACTTCTCAAGGCTTTTTATTATTACAAAAACACGTTCTCAGTTCACAACAATGCACCGATCGTAATCTCAACTGACAGACTCTTCTCAAATTTTTGTATTCCAACAATCCATCTCATTGCTTCAAACTGTTTAAAGTTATGGTTATTTTGCAACAGTCATTACCAATTCATATTTGTGACTGGACTGATAACATCGCAAGGATCTCGTATCATTACAGTTATTACTTTCGATACGTACTGACTGAATGATGCGTACAATTATCAGGTTTCATGACACACATAACGTTTCAAAAATTTAGCACTGTTCTAAGAGATAGAAGGAATCGAAAGCAAAACTTACAAACGCTCTATTCACAATGATCAAAGTACAATCTGCCAAAGTGTAGTGTAGTCGATGATTTGTGTAGGATGAAACATGGACGAAACGTTATGTCATATGTGCATAATGGAATCGTAATTGATTTTATTTCGGAATGTCTTGAAAAATAGATGGAAGGAATTGATAAAGGCCGTTATCGATTAGCAGTGAAATATCTGCGATCACAAACATGTATAATAGCGATATCAAGGTTATCGTATCAGGTGCTCACCAAAGCATGCATAACTCTCATTTCTTGAGTTATTTCGGTGCTGTAAACCTCTTTCAACTTCAACGTCATCGTGCACTTCATTCCTCTCGCTGAATTGTTTACCGTTTCAAAACGATTCTATTTTCCGTTTTTTACTTTTCTTAAATCAGTTTTACATTATTTTCGTGTTATGATCAGAGGAAGTATTTCAATTCACTGTGCACATTGTTAACTGGTTATAATAGTGTGTCGTACGAAAGTTGTGATTAAAAGAAGCGAGTAAATTTAAGTCCATTAATGATTCTTTAAGATAATGGTGAACAGCACTGCTGCGGAAGAAAGTCAGAATTCCTCGAATGAGCGTATCGATCAGTTGAAAACTGAGCCAACAGAATCGGTACCAGATGAGATCGACAATGATGTCTACCTGAAGGATGTTATCAGAGCGTTCGATAAACTCAGAAACGTTTCGGATTTTAATCGCGTTGCGCGAAAGGTTATCAATTTTTAAATTTGATTTTTTCATAGCATTTATTCCTTCACTTTCACAAGTTTTTCCACCAACTACAAAGAGAAATTTTCATTATTGGCAAACCACATACGACTTTTATAAAATGATATTTCAGAATCCGTTAAAATCTCATGGTTTTTATTATGGTAGATCAATTTTTCAGGTGCATCCAATTTCGGCTACTCGAGACAGTATATTAGTTGAATTAACACTTGAAGAAGAACATGTAAATAGTAAAAAAACAATGCATGGTGGACAAACAGCTGCACTTGTTGATATGATCACCGCGAGAGCCGTGGGAATCACTATTAAGGACAGGGCGATGGTGTCTGTGGAACTTGCTGTTAGGTTTCTATTTATGCAGCCATTCATTTATATTCGTTAGTATAATTGCTCTTGTTAGCATTTCTTAATTTGTCATTATTCCTTTCGATTTATCATTGTCAATGTTCAGTTGTCATTTGCACTGATCATTGGTTATGTTCATTATAACTGTTATGCGAGTTTATTTTAAGCTCATTCATGTTTTGTTGCGTACTGCTCGGATTCAGTTCAGATCTCAGGTGTTATCAGTCAGTATTGTATCATTGTTATCACAACATCATTGATACTGTTTAGAATGCGGCGGTTGATTATTGAATCATTCAGTTGGAATTATTATCGTACAAATGATGGACACTGATATATTTCAGCTATATGTATCCACTTCGATTGGGTGAGACGGTGCTCATAGAAGCAAAAGTTCTGAAGGTCGGTCGTAACATGGCATTTACAGAGGCTGAATTACGTCGCAAATGTGACAATCGTATCATAGCGAAAGGCAAGCACACTCTGGCATTCATCCCTAAACCAGCAACTCAAAATGGCGAACCATTTGAGCAATTCTGAATTGTCTGCTTAATCCGCATCGATCTCGGCCGAACGTAACTGAACACTTGCATGCAGAGAGCTGATCGATCAGACCATTTATTTCCTGTGATCATTACTGCAATAATCTGGCATTTTCGAACAAATTTTATGTGAATATTTCACAAATATAAATACCTATCTTACTGTATTGTGTCGCTTTGTAAATGTGATTTTGATTTGTTTTATTTGTAATCAGCGTGACTTAAGTGTCCATTCATATATTGGTTAATACCGTTCGCCTTCTACTTTCTGATTTATACGGTTTCTGTTGATCGATGTCTGAGAGCATAATCACTTAAACGGTTTCAATGTTACTGTTTTATGCAACTATATTTGCAAAATTTTACTGTTTTTGTGGTGCAGAATTGTTATCATTATGACTGTTCTGGGTATAAACTCGTGTTTTCTATGTCATGTCACCACTAGTTTAATCGTTCTGAACGTGTTTTGATCGTTTGACCAGAGCTTCTCATCACCATTGGTGAATGGATATATTCTGTTCATTGAAGACTTGCCGATATCCCATTCACGGCGTTCTTGTCAAAATCCTATCACTTGCAGCCGTGTTCTTCATTTCATAATTTATTACCTTATTGAGACTATAACTTATAAATGCAACATCTACCATAAATTATTACGCTTTCCAAAAGTTCCGTAATATCCTGATGTAATTACTAATGAGAAATTCGTATTTATCGCAATGTTTTCGTCGAATTTGTTAAACTCATGAACTGTATCTCTTCTTAAGTTTACTTTTTCATCCTAAATCTTTCTTCAATCGATTGTCTCGAGTGTTTAAGTTGGACATTTTTCGGTCGTTTACAAATGTATCAGTTTTGTGAATTCGAGATTTTCGTAAACAGTTTATTAGTAAAATGAATGCAATAAAGATTATGATTAAGACAAAAAAACAAGAAACTCTTAACAATTAACAGTAACATGATGTCGAATTACAACTACATTCCATAACCTAGACTGATCAATGATAACGAACTAATGCAAACAAGAACAACGTAACAATATTATCATCATAACAACTATTGCATGGTTGCACATCTACTATTACCATGCAAAACCATAAACACAGACCAGTTTATTCTTCGAAAATAACAATGCACCGTACTCAACAAATCACACGTGTTTCCCGCAATATTCCCTCATTAATTCGAGAATCTGTGAAACCTCTATTAGACATTACATTCATATATACTTTAAAAATTCAAACTTTTCGATTAAATCTATTACGATTAAGTCGTAATATAAACCTTCTATTCATGTAGTTAAGCAAATAAGAAATACTGAAGAATCAAACGTAAACCATTCATCCTCAATCAAATGGTGAAAAATTACTTAAGAGAAGTGAAACTTTTCATGCAATTGCCAAATGAATGACAATAAATGAATTAAAACAGCGAAAGCAGACAAAATGTGGGTAATCAGCGACACCCGCACGTGGCTGTCAGTAACAAACAACAATTAACATCTTCAATCCCACTTCCCCATTATATCGACCTCTCGGAAGAGGTAGTACTCTTTCTCCTCAACTGTCACTTTTGTGCCTCCGTATTCTGGCAGCAATACGCGATCACCAGCCTGAAACATTATCGATTCATGTTAAGCTAATCAATCAACCATCCTCAAATTCAATAAATAACTGAAAATAAACTGAAAGTCGTGAGTTGAAAGTGTGAGCTGAAAATCAAAAAATTCTTAAAATCACGTATTTACTCCATCTGGCTTATGACAGACGACACAGAATCTAAATAAACTAGTACTAAAAATAAATTAAACACAACGGTATTGGAGAAATAGCACCCACTTTATAAAATCACCTAAACGTGATAAAAAAATATCCCGCGTTACTAAAAGGATAACGATTAAAGACAATTATAACCATCTACCTTAACAGTCATGGGGATTGTTTCGCCTTTATCGTTCCTTGCACCCGGACCAACCGAAACAACAGTTGCTTCGAGAACTTTACCCACCGATTTCTCGGGCAGCATAATGCCACCTTTGGTCTTGACCTCAGGTGCGAAACGTTCAACTAGCACTCTGTCGAAGAGTGGCTTGAACGATCTCAAGATATCGGCTGCCTGCAATCAGCAACGTTTTGTTGACAGAATACTCCAAACTGATTCATAGGGGATCATATCCTTGCAGGGATACACTTCACTTCGAAGAAAACAAGTGGTCATGAAAATAGGCTAAACCACCGATTCATAACAGTAAGTTCCACAGATTTCTTACTTTTAGATAATTTGTTAATTTTAGATAAATTGTAAAGATACTGATAAATTAGTAATTTTGTTGATTATAATTACAACGATAAATTCGTTAATTTTATGGCTGATTTTTAGATGATTAAATTTGTTGCAATGAAATGTGAATTGTACTGTCAAAAACTCAATTACTTACTGATTTACGAGCAAGAGAGAGGAATACCATTGTCTTGAGTACAAATATGAGATCCACACAAACGCAAAATCAGGTAGAATGGGTAGGTAGCGTGAACGAGACGATTCTAAGACTGCACACAAGCAACTTCGACCAGCTCAAGCAGTAAAGTGAAATAAGTGGCAGTTCAACGGCTAACATTCCCTTTGCACCCAATCAACGTCCGAATGGCTGCTCGCCAACCAATCAAAGTACGATATTTCTGTGTTCTTCGCGAAAGTTCTGCGTAGACCCACCCATTAGCCAATTTATTTCGCTAGGTTATTGCTTCAATTCTAGTTTGACGCTTAACTTTCGCTGTAGGTGTAGGGCCGTACCTGTGTGCCGTTGGTTTTATGCTTAGCCGCACGAACAGCTTTTCTTTGTTGGTATCTGAGTGTGAGTACCAAAGTAGATGGTGACATCAGAAATTAACATACCTGAAATTTACTCGCAGGAGGGCAAGTGGTGATGCTTTTGGCTATGGACCTATATTTCAAAATCAGTGATATTTTGGGAACCGCATTTATGTAGTGTTTCACAATTGTGTTCCTTAGCTTTATGATAGGTCAGAAGTGAAAAACGATCATCCTGTTGTTTATCGAAATGCATGGTAACGTTGAACAGATTTAGCAGTGTTATTATTAGTGGTGGACGGTTTCAGTTCACTTGGTTAACAAGTAGCAAGTATCGGAATGTTTCGTCTTTGTGCTCAGCGCTCAATCGTTCGTACGTTAGTACGTGGTTTCGCGAAGGACCTCAAATTTGGACCCGATGGGCGAGCTGCCATGCTTGTAGGAGTTGATGTTTTGGCCGATGCTGTAGCGGTTACGATGGGTCCGAAGGTTATTTTTCTCTTAGCTTATCAACTTGATTTTTATGAAGT